TTTAACTAAAAAGATGATAGCAGAAAGTTAGGTTATGGTGAAGTTGTATACCAACATATTTAGCAACAAATGTATGCCGAGCACAGCAATGTTGTACTATAAAAGTTGTAATATTGTTGCAGATTGTTGGAAGCAATTTGTTGGCTAAAGTAGTAAATCTGCACACCAAAACAACAAGGTTTGGGTTTGTTGTATTTACCATGGATGCCACAACACAGCTATTTTGACTACCGCGCAAGTATGCCGTATAAGATAGTTGTATAAACGTTTATGAAACCGTTCAAACTTTGTCCTACAAGGTGTTGTATAAATATGCTACAAGAATGCTTTAAACACCTCATTTTAGAGCAAATATGCTGCAGAAAGCAAATTTGCATTCCATTTGCATTCCACACAACATTAAGCCAGCATTTTGGTGTTCAGGCAACAACAATAGACAGCTTTTCCGACTGAACAGTTCTTTTACCAAAAGCCTATAGCACTACTTTGCTAGTTGGGTCTGGTAAGGTTCAATTCTTGACCACGATGTCGAATGGCGGTGCCTAGATTCTCGGCCACATTTTCTCGCACTGCGACTATATTTGCGAGGGACCGGCCAGGAAAGCGACGAACAGTGATCTTCATATTGAGCAACGTGACTTTTGTCTTAAATTTTGTATCTTAACGGCCAACTGTCGACTCATTGGACGCATTATTGCGTCCGAAAATTGTACGTAATTTGCGAAATGTTTCCGCGTAATTTTCTCCATTTTTATAGTGAGTTTTGAATACTGCTCCATGTCGTCTAGTCGCTGTCATCAAGTAAACACCATATCATTTGCATATAAAAAATGGTTTCAAATTTAAGTCCGGTGCGCTTGTTAAGACATCCTTTATAATCTCTATGTACGTTCTTGAGAGATTCCTACAGACATTATGTGTTCTGTAACTTTGCGACAATGAATAACGCGTTCGCAATTTTTTCAAGGTTGGACAGACTGACAGAGATGCTAGAGTAGGAATTTGAAAATACTTTTTTCTTTTTTGACATGAAAGTAACATATGAAAGCTTCTAGATAATGACTCTGAGACATCTTGTATTTTTTTTTTGAACGTAGTTGGGGACCGCAGGTTACCCTATTTTGAAACTCCTTATAAGTGTATGGTAAGTCTGACGTTTAAAAATATTTATCTTTAAAGTTGACCGTTTTTGTACATTTATTAAAACCTGGATTTTTTTTAATGTTCCATATTTTATTTTATATTTGGGTTGATCTTTCCCAGAGAAGAAAATTGATATCGCATGTTATAGCGCTTTGATATGTAATTGTTATAGGCGATTCAGTCTACAAAAACGCTTGGCAGCCAGGCAGTTGGCCGCTTTAATTGGTGGTTATTTTTTATTCAAAAGTTATATAATTACTCCTACTTGATTCCCTATTCCGTTACAAAAGTTTTTCATGCGTCATTGTCATTACCCCAAATTCCAGCATGCTAAGTGCAGCTGTTAAAAGATTGGTAAAGGAAGGGACAATTTAGAAAAGCACTGCATATGTTACGGACAAAGACGATATTCTGGGCATTGTCATTCATGGCTGGGCAATGATGTGAATTCCGAACCAAGCTAGGCAGTGTTATTGAGACAATGGACAATGACATGAGCGTCCATGAAGAAGCAACATACTCGAATCTAGTGAAGTGTAACGTTATGCTACACACGATGTTTGTTTTTACTATTCAAACTAGTTACGGATTCTGATCAAACGTTCAATCTACTTGCAAACGTGATGGAAACATCTCATTTTTAAATGTACAACCGTACTAGTGGGATTCAGAAAGTAAACACTTTGTCGTCAACTTTTCGCTCCAGGTTTCAATATTTTATGTCTAAGCTCGTAATTTCCATCCGTTAGTGCTTTTAACACATCAGCGATATCGATGACAGTAAATATTAAATGTGGAGTATTTTGCTATTGCCACGTATGAGTTCGTTAAAGCGGTGCCCCAACTCCAACGTCGATGAAGCAGCAACCCCGCATGCTTCCTGGCATCTCTAAGCAAAAAAGTGTCTCCCAGCATCATAAGTGAGTCCTCAATCAGGATAAAACTAAGCTTTAACCATACTACCAGCTGTGTTATGTAAAAGTACCGTAAACTTAGAAACAAATCTCTGCCCTGAAGAACGCTAAAAAGCTTTTTTTTACTTGTCTAAGGGAAATTACACATATTTTTTATTTTCAAATTGTAGAGCGGCAAAATACAACTATTGTGTACAGCCCCGACACATTGGCAGATCTCAAAAAAACGTGACTTACCTTTTGAAGAGCTACAGTATTTTTTAAACGGGGTAATTAAGCAAATGGCCATGACCGAATCGAGATAAATATAAAATATATTGTAATTGTCACCTGCTCCTTGAAAAAGGCCGTGGTGGCCGAAACGTCAGTAAGAAGTAATTAATACATTTGTGGTTTTACGGGTTACCCCCCCACTAAATACTGAATAAATTCATATGAGCTTCTTTGCTTTCCGTTGTCTGTCTCAAAAGACTAGGCTTATTAGGCTTATACCGTACTAATGATTACTAACAAGCTTGAAAAAACAAAGTATATGGTTGGTTATAGCCACAGAAACGGAAAGCAAACAAATCCAATTCAGCCTGTGTTAACCAAAAATAAGTCAAGCTACTACGTCAAACATCAAAGACAAGCTAAAACCAGAAATGGCGTTTTTATTCTTGCCTTGAAGCTTTTTAATGTCCCATCATTCCATTGGCGATTTTAGTGGGAAAATATCTACTCGCTTTCCGCTTCTGTGACCATGATCAACTGTGTATATTGTTGTTACATGCTTGCTAGCCATCATCAGTACGGTATACGTATAGTCCTTGAAGACAGACAATGAAAATAAACGGATATTGCCTACTGAAAAAGTTGATTTTGCTGTGAGCGAGTAGGTGACACCGCTACATTTATGGTCGTCCATAACACGAAGTGGCATATCTCATTTTTTCCAATTCTAAGGGAGCGCGATTTAAATATTTTCTCGAGATTTGAGTTGTTGCTAACAAAATGGTATTCTTGCTACATAATTGAATTTGTGGGTATATTTGCTCATGTTTACAATCTTTTCAAAAATCAGCTACGATTAACCCATATTTAATTTTTTGTGTTCAAAATTTCCAAAAAAAGTAGATACGTCATTTTGTGAATTTGAAGAGTCGTAATTCATAGAATAAAGATTTAGTTACGTCCGTGTTATATTAAACTGATGAAAAATAAAAACCCATGAAATTTAAGAAAGAAATATTTTATTACAAGACAAAATGGTTACAAAAAGGGGAACACTGAATATTATGGCAAAATACATATGTATCCGCAGTATCTAAAGCTATTTAACTCCCTATAAAAGAAAATATAGCAGCACAAACGAAAGATTCACTCAAATAATAATGATATAATAATATCTGTTAAAGATGCACACACTCAATAATAATTAGTATTTCATCTCATACGCATGAGGAAGATCCAAATAGAATTTTTGGTATTCTAGTAAACGAACTACCGACATACCTCCTTCACACAGCGACTTCAAATCCATATATTTTTTCGTAGTAATTTTTCTTGGCTCTGCATTCAGAACTTCGAGACAAATATATTTTAAATTAAGTATTTATCTTTTTAATGTAAAAAAGCTCTATTCGTGTTGCAGGTGACTAGATTTGTAAAATATTGTTAGCAGCTCATGTTTTTTAGCCTTTATTCCCATAAAATCAGGCTGCCCTGAATCTGAGGTTCGTATAGACAAAGTTTTTAACTCTTGGGACATTTTTTAAAATCTCATTTGGACAATGCTGTAGACAGACTGTGGACAGAATCTCCTTCATTTTGACCATAAAATGACTCAAAATAGTGTAATAAGATGTCTTGTATATTCGAAGTTTTAGCTAAAGCATATAAAAGCCTTGTCGCAATAAGCAATTCTGATTCTGTCAACTCCGTCTCCTTGAACGACTCCACTCGAATTTAATGTTTCTATGGAAGTTCCAAAAATAGAGTTTTACATACTTGATACTGCTTGCCTTAGATTGTAAGGTAATATTTGCGGGTAATATTTGCGACCTTTCTTTTTTGTAGTTTTTTGATCTGTGTTCGCTATCTTACTTAGATAAGGCATGCGCTGTAAAATGATCTGTAAATTTTATAACTTCACAAATTGGCGTAACTTGAGTTAAGCTCTTGAAATGTTATTTTATATTAAAATGACATAAATCTAATATTATTTTTCTATAACTCTGCAGGTATTAGAAACTGCATCATGCGACTACGTGATACTGATCAACTTTTTTAAGTAATAATGTTTACCTTTCTTTGTCTCCCTGAAAGACTAGCAGTATTCATATTGATTAAAAGCATGAAACAACGTTGTATAGGGTTGGTCATGGTTACAGAGACGGAAAAAGCGGACCTTATTCGGCCTGTGAAGTGTTTTTATAGCTACGCGTTTGCAGTTAAATATTATGCTACTGTTTGCTTGATCGGAGTGTTACGTCGTAGGAAAAAAGAAACTTTGTCGCTTTCTGGTTTTTTGTAAATGGTTCAGACACTTATCGTTGCTCTTAATGGCTAACAAAAATCTTCTCTTCACTGCTTTGCATTTCTGTTGGGTCAGGCAAGGATATGATTGAATGCGTACTACATTAATGCAAGTTTTTGATTCCAATATTGCAATTTGTAAAAGGATATTCATATGGTCCCGTAATTTTCAACCGGTCATCCTTGGAAGAGAACAACCTACCAGTAGACAAACTCCGATGTGAAGTAGAAAATCTTCTGAACTTCTTAATTAATCTCTATTACTTTCATCAATAGCCCGTAGATAAATTTAATTCTTGATTTGTATATGCATGTGTATACGTTTGTAGCATGCAGACCGAATGTGTAGTAGTACAGCAACGGCTTGCAGCTATATACACCTCTGAAAATATTTTTGAAGGAAATTGAAAAATGTATTCTTTTCAGAGAGGACAGGGAGGTGGAGACGGTTCCTCAGGTTCAGGCTACACCAGCAGGACCAGGCCGACCAAGGTGAGTTCCCTTTAAAGAATATTGCTAGGATAAATATATTTATGAATTGTGTAGATGCTACCCCATACAAAATATTCGTTTTGTCGCTTTTCTAGGTAAATATGTCAACACGGCTGCAATAGTGATATCCAAACCGCGACCTATAGGCTGTATGTTAAGTACAATCGTTGAGTTAAATACTTTATTTTGGATTAATTACCAGTGGTCCTCCTACAATGTACATGTTGATCCTAAATCAAGCGAAATGTTCACCAGAACTCTACAGTAGTCTCAGTCCCTTGAAGGAACTCTGAAAATGTCAATTTATACTAATTGACATATAAATCCGAACACGCAGTTTAAATGGTTTTATTTTAATAAAATTTTGTAAAAGTACTTAGTGAAGCATAATAAGTAAATGATAAAAAATTCAAAATGATTGCACTGCTTTAAAGCCCTTTGACCTTTAATAATGTGTGGATGCACCCTGATGTGCTACGCATTCTCCAACGCGCCTAGGCATGCTTCTGATCAGGTGGTCAATGTCCTCCTGTGGTATCTCATTCCAGGCAACGACCAACTCCTCTGGAAGTGCTTCTAGAGTCTGAGGAGGACGTTGCAAATTGAGCAATCTCCTACCCATCATATCCCACACGTGCTCAATTGGGGATAAGTCGGGAGATCTTGGTGGCCATGGTAACAATGTGACATCATTATGTTGAAAGAAGTCTATTGTGACTCTTGCAACATGTGGTCGGGCATTATCTTGTTGGAAAGTTGTATCTGCCAGAGTGACCGTTGTCTGCACCACACAAGGCGATTACGTCGGTGTTCTCAAGTTAAAGGGAGGACCCAGTGTGGCCGGTATGAAAACAAGCCAAAACTTCTCATTCGTCGGTAAACACTTCGCATGCCAATAGGTCTTCCGTGTTCTGCAAACCATTCATTTGCAATGGACCTGGTAGTGGAGAAACGGTCCCTTAAGGCCAATAATCTTAGGTGGCGATCTTCACGGTCTGTTGTTCTACGGCGGCGTCCAGTGCCCCTTGCTCTTTGCGTACGGCATTCTCGAAGCCATGCCTGACAACACCTAACCACAGTGTCTACACTTCTTTGCACTCTAACTGCAATTGCCCGAAAAGAAAGTCCAGCTTCCCAAAGTCCCACTATACGGCCCCTATCAAACTCACTAAGTTGACGAAATCGTTCAGATCTCCGTACTCTAGGCATCGTAACCGATCGTAAAGGATGTCAAGAACCAAAATCCGCCAACGTTGATTCTTTACTGCGGCTGAAATATTCATTTTTAGAGCGTTAGTGAATTAAAAGAAAGCAGTATAAAAACCGGAATGTCCAACTGATAAGGCTGAAAATTTTTTCACTTGTTATTTACAGTAAGATAAATACATTCACCAACTTTTATTAAAATAAAACCATTTAAACTGGGTGTTCGGATTTATATGTCACTTAGTATATACGTATATATATATATATATATGTACATAATATTGCTGTTTGGGTTGACGTGATTGCAAAGTATCTAAAATATTGACTTAACCTGCCAAAGACTATTCAGATTGAAAATACCATACACATGACGTTTTTCTCTATACTGAAGGCTTACAGTTAGATTAACTAAGTTACCTGGTCTTCAAAGCCTTGACTTATCTAGCTCTCATTCTATTTATTCCAACTTCAAAGGTGGATTACGCTTGTATTGCTTACGGGAATGAATTTTCCTACATTCGAGCAAGCGAACGCTAGCTGGACAGTAATTGTGTTATTCGTCTACCTGAGGCCGTTCGACATTTTGCTCTTGTTCAGCGAGCTTTGCAGCTTCAAAGCGAATTCCGCTGCTATCAGCGCCAATGCGACGAGCCTTTACACAGAAATTGCATAAGAAGCTTTGAGAACCAGTTTCTTTGGATTTAGTCTTAGTACACATACATACTTCTTCAAGGAATTCTTAATTATCACTATATCAAAAATTATATCACACCCCAAAGTATCTGTTTTATATGACAACTATGACTATGAAACTTGCAATGTAAATGACAACCTCGTGCAAACTGAAGACAAATTCTATGTATTTAGAAAAGTCTGAAAGACGAAAAGGACATATTGTTTCATATGACTGTATCCGAAACGCCATATCAAAACAAATAATCTATTCATTCATAAGCATTGAAGATTAGTAGTAGAATGACCACATTTCAATGAGGACGAACTCTTTATGTGATATCGTGGTTAGCGAGGAGGTCAATTTCATTAGCAAGAAACTTGGCCAGGGTTACAAACTACACCTAGATTTTGCTGTACGAAGCCCCTTGTGGTAAAAGAAATACAGAAAGCTGATGCTCAGGAGCTAGCGAAAGGTTTGCGCTGTCTAAAAAGCGCCTAAGCTAGATGCAATGAAACTGAGGCGCTTTTTGTTAGAAGGTCGGAAAGATGGGAAGCTTCTGGTCATTACACATGGACTAGAGGATTGATCCTGATATTGAAACTTGGCATGTCAAGGGAGGGGTGTAGATAGATTTCTATACTACTCAGTGTCTCACAGGCCATAGTTATTTTGACAGCTATTTGAAGAGGTTACGCAAGAGGTAGTAGGCGAACTGCGTATATTGCAACGATGAGGATACTACTAATCATCTACTGGGATATGGGATGGGTTGCCTAACAGATACAGCTGGAATTGACACTCAGCCAGAAGCTCATTTAAGATCTTTTTGAGCAAAAGGCTAAAGGGTTGAGATTCAACCAAAAGGCGGAGGATGCTGAGCAAGGTACGGGATGATAGAAATAGACCAAGAAGCCGTATGTTTCCTATCCTGTAACATCCACACAAGTACAAATGTGTATGTACGTCAATGAGAATAGCATTACTTATAGATGCTTGGCGCAACGCTACTTTTAGTCTAATCATATCAGACGAAAATGCCCCTAATTTGCGAAATAATTGTAAAGTCTGGTTTTTTTGTTGCAAGTTGTTCAAGGGGGTATTTGAAATATGAACGCGTAAAATGGGTACACCAATTTTTGTGGGAAAACTTTTTATTCAACAACATAGAATGAGAAAACCCGTTTTTTCCGCTTTGTTTTAAAATGTGCATAATACCCTATGTTTTCAAATATCGCAGCGAATCTGTTCAGTTACTCACATATACGAGGTATCTGTATTTGTTTAGAAGAAAAAACCGTAACCCTTTGTTTTTCGCATAAAAATAACAAAATTATGTTTCGGAATGGTTTGTGATTCACGTCGGAAAAGTAAATTCGTGTATTTTGCTATAAAATGCCCTTTGCGCGAAACCTATAGATTGCTCAGTAAACTAGTAGTGAGGGCGGGAAGACCGGTGTTTTGGGATACGCAATTAGAAAATCTCCAAAACTGATTGACCAATCGACTGCAATTTTGTTGTGATTATTTAGGAGTACGAAGCCTACCGATTCGAAGAATTTCAAGTAGCTGCGTGAAATTACCGTCGCAATAGCAACAAGTGCCAGAACCTGCATTTTACCTCGGTTTTCGGCCATAACTTTTTTACTATTAGTTTTTTAGGTCTCATAAATACCTAAAAATCTTACCGAAAGAGTTTTTTCGTTCCTACCAACACTTTCAATTGAATCTCAAAAACACATTTTCTCATTCTCTGTTGTCGAATAAAAAGCTTTCCCACAAAAATTGGTCTACCTATTTTATGCGTCCGTGCTTTAAATACCCCCTTGAAAAACTTGCATCAATAAAACTCGACTTTACAATTATTTCGGAAAAATTTGCTAATATGATTAGACTGTTTTCATCTCGAAGTGCTACAGGGATTACAGTACCGCGTTTCTACAAAATCCCACACTTCGGGCAGGAAAGATTAACTGGACACTACTGCCTTTTTTCCTAAAAGCAGCTATAAATGCTTTACTCTGTTCAAACATATTTATGTTTATCTTCCTTCTACAATTATTATCTGAAAACTAATGACTCAACTTCAAAGTCACCCTGTATAGCCCCAATTGCTGCTTCGAGAAAGACCGGGTGAGCCACAAAGCGACATCTAGAACATTGGAGGTCACTTCGCGTCGATCTAGAAGGCGTACAGTTACAGTCCTCACAGACGCCGCCAAGCGGCTTGTGCAGTCGTGGTTTGCGTAAAAGCAGAGATCGGCCATTAAGATCTGGCGTATAGGAGACTCGCCCAACAGATGGCGCCTATTTGAACAATACTTACGAACGCATCTAGGTGTTTAATGGTAAAAGACTAGTACTTCATTACAAATTACTGAGAGCCATAGTCTAGATCTCACCAGTATAACTGGGCAAGCTGACCGTGAAGTTTGAATGCATTGTATGCTTTACGTAATAAAAGCAACCAAACGTCATCACAAGTAGCGATAATCATTAAGAATCGGTAGCTCTATGGCCATATCGTTAGTCGTTCCTACGGTTGTAGGACCCGTTTACAGCCTTCTTGATTTTCATAGTTTTTCCTGTCCTTCAGAAAGGCGGCGATATTTCCATTGTTTCGTGTCAGCACTCTATTTTGAGGTTACATGTTCTTTTGAAATTCTAGGAAATTTCAGGCTGATAAAACTTGATTTTTATCATCTCTCTTATCAGCCTAAAATTTCTCAGCACTCAAAAAGAAAGCATAACCTCACAATAGGAGAGCCCAGACGCTGATACGGAACTGGAAATCTAGAAATACTCCAGCTTTTCTTTTCGGAGAGAAAACTTATAAAATCAAGGAGGCCATAAAGGCGTTCTACAATTTATTGAGAACAAAGAACAAAGTTCAGCGACATACCCTCTATGTCCATAATAACACTTCTTTGACCACTGTCCAGAATCCTGATACTTGAATTTCCTATGAGTTCCATAGCTTTCCGTAGCTTAATTAATCGAGCATATAAACAAAAAGAACGCCTTCACTGACGTCGCCTGTGTTTTTTCCGGATAGCGTAGCGAAGGCAGTGGCACACATATACGTACTGTACACAAAGGGGGCCTGCCACATAATTACGGGAACAAAAGCCCGCTCTCCATTTATAATGTACCCGGTTAGAGGGGTGCGAATTTCCATACGTAGCCAGCCCCCTATTCCCTTCTCCATTCTGCTTATCCCCCACCTGCCTGATTTCTCGCTAGCAGCATCTGTACCCAGTTGCGCTGGTGCCAGATGTACAGAAAAGAGTTTTCTCTAACAAAGTTACGAGCTGGCTGTGATAATGCATATTGACCAATGAGACATCCAGAGTAGAGAACGGCAAAGTTGGATAGGTAATATGCCATCGTACATATAATATAGAGTGCTTTTCTTTAATGTCCCATTCCCTTTGATTTTTCGAACGGATCAATTCAAAAAATTAAAACTTGTAATGAAATTGATGCGTGGATACCATATTTTTACTCTTTAATTTTTTGAATTGATCCGTTCAAAAAATAAAAGGGGAGGGGACATCAAAGAAAAGGACTGTTATATCAGAAGCTGCTATCTTTGTTGCAACTGGCCAAAAAAATAGCTTCTCTACGGAGAGTCAGGAACAACAGCCATCGATTCGTTCTATGAACGATTGATTTAATTTATTGAGGCAGGGGAGTGTCCGGTTGAGATATTTTGAGATTTGAGTAAAGTCTTTGATTGTGTCAACCATAACATTCTGTTGCAAAATCTCTTTGCATCTGGTGTAAACGGTGTTCCTTACAGGTGGCTCAACTCATATCTCCGAATCCAGTTAAGTCACACTTGATAACAGGGTTCCCCAAGGTTCCATTTAAGGGCCTATTCTTCTCATTCTTTATATCAATGAGGTTGAGTCAGCGAGTGAGGATGCGCTATTCACATTTTATGCAGAAAATGTATCAATATCAGTCTCGAGCAAATAGGAAAGTCCTTAAATGATGGATGCGATGAAGTAATTGCAAAGATCAGTGATTGCTTTTCCAAGCATCAGCTGCCTTTGACACTGAAAAAATCAATTTAATTAGGTTTCATAACCTACAAAATAACATAAATATAATTGAAGTTAAACATAAGAATACGTCATTGGACTTCTCAACCGATGTTAAGTATTTGTGAATAATTCTAGACTTTAAGCTAAATCTCGGAGTGCGACTACCTGGCTGCGCAACTTGACTCCCTCTCTTATTTGTTTAAGATCTTCAGTTTGTTTCTTTCTGAAAGTCAGCTGGTCGGGATATACTGTGGTCTTGTGGAGTCCAGACTCAGATATGGTATTTGTTTTTGGGGCTGCCCTGCTGCGGCACAACATGACTTTATTGTTAAAAGAGAATTGTTAGATCAATGGCGCAGGGATGTAAAGAAATGTAGTAGTTGTAAACTTACTTTAAAAAAAGACATACAGTTCCCACAAGGCAGAGTAGTAATGTATTCACTCTAACTTTTCTAAATGAATCGCCAAATATACTTGGACCCAAAATATTTAACATCCTTCCAAAGAATGTACAAGGAATAGCATATCAAACTCTAACTATTTTTTGGAAAGTTTTTTAATACATAAATGTTTGTGTTATGTCTGTGAGTTTATCAGTGTGTAAATGTTGTTTACTATCTTGTTTTATTTATCTTTATGTTTTGTTATGTCTCTGTATGTAGCTGCTCTGTTGACGGTTTCTGTACAAATTCGGTTTCTCTGAAGAAAAATAAATTATTATTATATAACGGCAGGTATGTCGATTAGCCACATTCGTCAGGTAACAGATGTAATCATCCTCATAGTCATACGTTGGTCAAAGTTAGATAATGGTGCTATACACCTTTTCGTCGACCAAACTTAAGTCAGAACATACCTAGTTCTGATGATTCTGTGATTCTGTAATCTATTACATATTCTGTTGACAAGTACGTATAGGGGACATGCCTAGTTTAGGTCTGACAAAATGAA